GTCCACTAGAAATTTTACTCATTTTTGAGTTCTTCAGGTTTAATTACTGATGGAGGATTAACTCATATTTAATGGAAGTCGTAAGGTAATATAAAACATTAATGCTTACTGAAAAAGAGGATGGACCTGAGTTAGGCTTCCCAGAACCTATATAAAGCAGAGGTGACAATGTGCATCTGTAATTCCAGTACTTGCATGGGAATCTTTGGAAACTCAAGGGACATCCAGCCAGGAGTTCACAGTGGCAAACAAGAGAATTGTGTCCAACATGGTGGATGGTGAAGACTAACAACTGAAGTTGTTATTTGAACTCCACATGTATATTATGGCATTCACTCATGCACACACACACACACACACACACACACACACCATGAAGGAAGATACATTAAGGGAATGGGAACAGTAGAATATAAGTAAAAGAAAAATAAAGAGGGGTTTATTATGGTGGAAGAGATTAAATCTGTAAGGGAGAGAAGAGGATTGGGGAGATATGGATTCAGTTGGGGGCGGTTAACCAAACTGAAGGGAGTATGAAAAAGCCATATGGCAACCTATCATTGATGGGAATGTACTGTATATGTTTACCTTACTGATTGTTAAATAAAATACTGTTTGGCCAATGAGACAGCAAGTAGACGGGACTAGGAGTCAAAGGGGATTCTGGGAAATGTAGTAGAGAAGTGATGATCCAGGCAGAAAGTGACATAGCAAGGAGACTCATATTTAAGTGAAGATGAAACAGGAAGGACCCTCTTTTTCCTTCGCCTCCTGCAGCAGCAGGATGCGATCCACCAGCAAGGAGGAATGCCAATAAGGCGTCCGATAAGATAAGTCTTATAAAATATATAGATGTATGATAATTGAGACTGAGCTAACAGATGAGAATCCTAGTCATTGGCCAAGCTGCTTTGAACCTAATACAAGTTTCTGTTTATTCATTTGGGCCTAACTCGGGCGGGCGGGCGGCTGGCATAAAGCTCACACGTGGCGGTGGGGCTCAGGCAGCTTTTGCCGGAAAGATTTATAGTAACATACCATCTTTGAACCAAAATAAATAAATAAATAAATAAATAAATAAATAAATAAATAAGAGACTGAAGGAAGTCATCCTGCATGGTAGTTAATGCTGTCCATAGAAGCAGTGGCCAACTAAATGAAGTTCCCAGTTCCCTGTGTGGATTCTTCTACAGAGGTTCTCAGGGAAGCATCAGAACCTCCCCCAAACAATATAGGCTCTTGTCAGTTCTCTAAGTTGTCCACTAGAAGTAGAGGATAAGACCACATTGAAGAAGATGTCTCACATCTCTGTTACAAGATGCAGAGGAAGCAATCTGGAAAAGAAACAAAATCCTTTCTACTGTCTAGCTTTTGAAGTTCCAGAATGCTAGGCAGGTTTTTGGAGGAGAAAAGGCATCATTGGTCTTATCTAGAAGTGAATCTATTGGGCCATCATGTGGGTAAAATGTGCCCACTTGTGCAAAAATGGCATGACTGTTATAGGGATAACCAACTGCCCGCCAATTGGATTTGAGGTTCACACCATGGCAAGGAATTCATGCCTGATACTATAACACCAGTTAATAACCCATGCCTAGTGAGGTCATAGGCTCAAGTAGGGCAACTAAATCAATAACATAGCATTAAACTGTCTTCTTAATATGTATGTTCATACCCATTTATAAAAGCTACCCTCAGCCTAAATCAGAGGAGCCTCTCTTTACAGTGAATATCATGAATGCAGAGTCATATCTGCCCAAGACGCTGAGAATAAATGATTGTTTAAGGTTCAGCCCTAAATAAACATTTACAGCATACCCTCTAAGACTTAGGGAACATAGCAGAAAAGGGAGTAGCAAATATATAAGGACCTGAAAATGGGACGAGGTCTATGAAGTGCTGTCCTCTGGAGTCCACTTAATCACTACAATCACAAACTCAATAGTTGTGCTGGGACCACATGAGACTGAAACTGTTAATAATTAGTCATAGAGAGGGGAGGAGCTTATAGGGCACTCCTCTCTGCTGAACTGTTAACTTTTGATGGGTTCTGGGAGTGTAAGAAATCATTATTTCTAGTTGTGTACTCACTCAGAAGATACTACAGAAACTCAGTGGATCACAAAACAAACATGAGAGAGTTGTAGATGTGGGGGAGGGTAGAGGCAGTAGAAAGGTGAGGGGGGAGGGGAGAGAGTGGTCAGTATATATTGTGTACATGTATGAAACTGCCAAGTAAAAGCTAAATTATTAGAAATCATAAAACTAAATCTCCCAGACAGGAAAACTGTTTTTTTTTTTCATACGATTTATATTTAGAAAGTAGAAACTACAAAATCAGAACAGTAAGAGTAAAGAAAAAGGATATTGCCAAAGGAATAATCCAACAAATTGCTCAAGAGATAAAGATGTCACTTTTCACACTGAAATGATACCCACTCTGACTGAATAACCAGCAAGTTTTGGGGGAAAAATTCTCAAGCTCTGAAAAAAAAATGCCTCTTGTAATTTCATTCATATAAAAGGGTATGCACAAGAGAGTAATGAATACAGAGGGAAGCTTGAAAACCAGGAAAGAGGAATGTACATAGAGAAGGGAAAGGGCCACCACCACAGGTTGGAGGTGATGCGAGACCCCCAAGACAGAGGCCACAGAACAACCTCTGTAGATGGGAGTGAGGGGATCAGGGATCTCCTGCGTTGTTTCATTCATTTCATTAATTTCTTATTGTTTTCTTCAAAAGTATAATTTCATGACATCAATAAAGTTTATATAACAAGTGAAAATAGGAAAGAATTATTAATTGATGAGGAAAAAGCATTGTTCATAAAGGAGATACTGTTGTGTGCAATTTCCACACAACTTAGTAATATGTCTTTGGTAATTAATTCAAGAGACAATTGGGAATGAATACAACTTCCCACCAGGATGCTAACCATAGAAAGTTAAAAATCTGAAGCTTTTATTTTCCATTAACTTGACATCTGATGACCACAGATTTTAAGTACCTTTATCATCCCAAGAACATTTAAAGATGTCTGGGGGAAGAGGTTAGAGTAAACATTATAATTTGATTTTTGACTAATATGCCTTCTTTTACTCATAATCCAATATGCAGGTAAAAGAAGAAAAGCCCACTTCCTACGTCCTCAGTAGATGCTTGTCCTAGTTAGTGTTACTATTGCTGTGATGAACACCATTACCAAAGCAACTTGGGGAAGATAGGAAATAAATTCGGATTACACTTCCACATCACTGTTTATTGCCAAAGGAAGTCAGGACAGGAAATCTAACATGGAAGGAACTGATGCAGAGGCCATGGAGGAATGCTGCTCACTGGCTTATTGACAATGGCTTGATCAGCCTGCTTTTTTATATAACTCAAGACTACCAGCCCAGGGGTGGCCACACTCAAAATGGTCTGGACCCTCCACCCATGAATGACTTAATTAAGAAATTTCCCTACCAGCTTACCAACAGCCAGATCATTTTCTCAATGGAGGCTCCCTGCTCTCCAATGACTCTAACTTTTGTCAAGTTGACATAAAACTCTTTAGTGACTGCGGTTACAAAACAACCATAAAAGTAAGTAGAAAAAAATATTATCATGATTAAAAAACTTCCTAATACCTAGTTAACTATTCATTTATTTTGAGCAATTTCCAAATAAAAACAGTTCCATACAATGAAAGTATCTATACCTAAGATGGACACCTATGTTGAGTTCATAATAAGGTTTTCTAATAATAAGAAAAATAAAAATCATTTCTATTAGATTTATATTTATGAGTCTTTTTTTTGTTTTTTTGTTTTTTGTTTTTTGTTTTTTTGTTTTGTTTTGTTTTTTTTTTTTTTTTTTGAGACAGGGTTTCTCTGTGTAACAGTCCTGGCTGTCTAGGAACTCACTCTGTAGACAAGACTGGCCTCAAACTCACAGAGATCCACCTGCCTCTGCCTCCACAGTGCTAGGATCAAAGGTGTGCGCCACCACTGCAAAGCATATTTATGAGTCTTAACAAGAAACATTCATTGGGACCTTTCTGGATGTAAGGCATCATACTCCATGCAATACGTGACAGTGATTCTTTGTAGCAACTCCGTGAAGGGAGAGGTACTGTTTTCCCCTTTTTGGGTGATGAACTGAGGCCCAATGATAGGCAATAATCTGAGGTCTCATAATCAACGGGCAGTAAAGCCAGAAAATGTAAATCTAAATGTGATGCTTGTTTCGAATGCTGGGATAGAGCACTGAGTTTGGACCCCAACTCCCATATCAGGCCACTCAAAATGGTCTGTAACTCTAGCTCTGGCTAGTCAATACCTCTGGCCTCCACAGGCACCTGCACACACATGCACACACACACACACACACACACACACACACACACACAGAGAGAGAGAGAGAGAGAGAGAGAGAGAGAGAGAGAGAGAGAGATAAAACCCCTTTAAAAAACTGACTCAGAAAGAACAAAAAACTTCTAAAAGACATGCTTTCACATAACAAGTCCAAACACTATTGTTTTTAAGTTTGTTTGATTATTACATAATTTTCCCTGGTCTATCCAAATTTATTTCTTAAATTTATATAGCTATTTTACAAATAATTTCAGTTATTTCAGACTTTATTTATACTTTCAAGGAATACACAGTACTTTTAGGTTTTATGCTAAATGAAAAGAGGCAGTTTGATATTTGAAGCTATGTTAGATTAATTTCAATATGAATATCTTATAGAACATTGAACCAACTAGAAACTTCCTCCTAGCATAAATATAAGTAATAAATGGCCAACTAAGTCAACCAAGTAAATACCATTATTTTGTTAAGATAATTCATGTTGTCAATGCTCCTAACACACTCCTAACTGTTTGGATACTTCAGTTAATATGTAAAGCCCTCTTAATATTTCAGTTTAATGTTTGACATGGTTATTTAAAATCAATATGCTTTGAAAGTCATCAACTTTAAATTTGATTCGTATTTTAATTTTAGAAGTTACCTTCCTCATTGTTTCCTTTCCCACTGTAATCTCATGCCCATCCTGCCCCATGCCATTCTTAAAGACTAGAATTCGTACTGCAGTCTTCTGAGCAAGTGTCTTCATCCTTCGGGAAAGTGCCGGCTTAGTTTTCTGTCTTTTGACATCAGTGGGAAGCATCAACCCATGCATTGTCCAAGTCACTTTCTTCGTTAACAGCAGATGGTCTAGAAGACAGTTTTTTTTTTTTTTTAATTCAAGTCAGTATTTGGCATCAGAATTTAAAGATGGACACATGCTTCCCTTCTCCCTATTTCCTATGTCATACACACTGGCCAGTCTCCATTTAGATGCTGGTTTTCTGAAATGCTACCTCCAGCTTCTCCAGCTTCCCACTAGCCATGACATAAGCTGTAGCAAGCTGTCTGCTCTGATCGCCTGCATAAATCATCATTTCTGAAGGGAACAGATGTTCAGGCTATGAAAGAGTAATACCACAATTTACTCCTAATTAAAATTCACCTTAGCATGCCTCTATCCCTGATCACGTGCACCTGGCTTCAGGGGTCCACTGAAAGGGTCCAGTGTCCTTTGCTACTGCAAAACAACGTGAGACTTGAACTCTTGTGTTCTTTCCTTTGGGGACACCCGCTTCTTCTCTAATACATTTCCTTTTGCTGTTGCTTTAGAGCTGACGACCTCTAATCAGTGACCTCCCCCCCACACCCCCCCGCACTTCTGTGAGGAGCAGGGAGGTGCTTTCTGAACTACTTCACTGAAAGTGAAGAACAGCTTTTCATTAACAGTTTACTTTGACCTAGACATTTTCAAAGACGTGTGCAAAGGGGATTTCAGTTTCAAACTCCCACCAACATGAATGGGAATGCAGCTAAATTACTATGTTAGGCTTCAAAAACTATATGGGTGAAAACGGCAAAGTAGCACATTACGTACTAAGCTGCTGTCAGTCTTCCTCTCTTTTTAAGAGGTTTCATTTCATAAATAAATATTTTTTACCTAAGGTGTTTACCTTACTCATGCATTCAATTTGCCTTAGATCTTATTTTTAAATTACACATTATACAGAAACACATTGATGCTTCCATCTGTTCTTATTTGTACTAATGAGAGAAATAGCTCTATTTATAGACAGCTAAGAACACGTAATTTATTAGGTATCTGCTAGCACTCACCATGAAGGAAATGGGACTCCTTTTACTCAGAAATGGCGCTTTCATACCTGTGCATTATGACCATAGCAGCACGATTGACAGCTGAAAGGTGGGAACCAAATGCCTATCAATGGACAAATGGATAAACTATAGAACATACATGATGGAATAGTGTCCAAACAGAAACGAATGAAATGCTGATATATGCTACAATGAGGATAAACCTCAAAAACATTGCACTAAGTGAAAGAAGTTACATTCGATTCCATTTATATGAAATATTAAGAATTTAGGAAAATCCACAGAAAGAGAATATGCATGGGTAGAGTTACCTGGAGCTGAGAGGAGAGGGGCATGGAGAGAAACTAAGTGAAACAGTCTCACCAGAAATGGCTGCATAAATAAGACTTTAACAATGCCAAGAAGTACAGGCAATAAGGACTGCTGGGAGAAGGAGAATTAGCCTTTCCCAGGGATGATCCCCCTTATTGGTTGTCCAGTTCAGTGATCAGCATTAAAACTATATACACACTAACCATAAAAAACAGACTCAGAAGATTATATTATATATATATGTAAATATTTATAAATATATATACATGTAAATATTTATAAATATATATGCATATATATTTGTGCACACATGTACATGTGTATGTAAGGATAATAATCTAAGAAAAAATGGCTACCAATGTGAGAGTAGCAGCACACATGGAAGGGATTCCAGGGAAGATAGTTTAGAGGGACTGGAAGAAGGAAAGGAAGGGGGAAAGTAATGTAATTCTATTTCAATTAAAAACATGTTTTTAGCCAAACAGATCTCTGTGAGTTTGAGACCAGCCTGGTCTACAGAGTAAGTTCCAGGACAGCCAGGGCTGTTGCACAGAGAAACCCTGTCTCGAAAAAGAAAAAATAAATTAAAAACCCATGTTTTTTAATGTAATATGAAAAAGGGGTGACATGCATGTGTAAAATCCTAGCGCTGGAGAGGAAGAGACAGGAGGATCCTGGAGGTGTGCTGGCCAGTCAGTCTCAGGTTAACTGAGATACACTGTTTCAAAAAATAAGGCGGGAAGCAATTGAGGAAGGTACCCCTGACCTCCAGAAGCATAAGCACATGCATGCCCACACACTGGGCTAACACATCCAAGTCACTCTATAAATGTTAGAATCTCCTACTGCCTACAGATCTAGAATAAATTCTTACATCAGGGCCCAACCAGACTCCAAAAACTTTCTGAGTAGAGGGAACTGCAAGAAACTGGTTATGTAAGTACAAGGAAATGCTGAGCCACAATCAAGGACAGTGTGCCTAGACAAAGACTGTAACAGCGGCAAGAAACAGAGCCCAGCAAGGCCAAAGAGGAAGGACTGCATTTGGATTTAGAGACTCTGTCAGGGGTTCCCTTTGGATTTCTAAAACAAGCCTAGATTGTAATAAAGTTGTAAAAATTCTTAAAAATTATATATATATA